CGTGCGTAATGCAGTATCAAAGCCATCACAGAATCGTTCAAAATGAGGAGCGTCGCGTTCATATAAATAGATTGTATCATATCCAAATTGAATTATAACATTTATTAGAGCAAAGCATTACTGACAGGTTTTTTTTAATTAGCTGATATAATTTTACAGGCTGATTCCATTACGTGTAGATCACACTAAATAGTAAATCGCGAACAAAAATTAAATGAATATTTTGCCAATCACTGGTGATTACATCAAGTATAATTTGTCATACAATAATAAGGCGTGCACCCTTAATTTCTTTGATAAAAAAAAAAAAAAATACGTACTTAGTAGCTCGACTTTCTAAAAGCCACTAATTTCATTTCCGTGAAGAGATCCTTATCACATTACCTTTACCTCTTTCTCGTTGACGAGTTTCCCACACGTGACTAGTTTTAAAGTCGAAAAAAATTTTTTTCTGTTAATTTGCAAGGATTTGAGAGAATCTTGTGTCAATATTGTTGATCTACATTCTTTCTCTTCACTACATTGTGTTCATATTTGTTAATTGTAAATTCTCCAGCGCCGTTGCAACTAGTGTCCTGGCGACAACCCATTCAAGTGGAAAATAAAATATCTTTGTGAAAACAATAATGTCAGTTGGTGTTTACGACAAATATATTGGACTGTCTTTAGCGGTCGCTTCCAGTTTGTTAATCGGCACGTCTTTCATCATAACGAAAAAAGGGTTAATTGATGCAACCAGCAGACACGGTAATATTTCGATGATTTAGTTATGAATTATCTTGGTTCAAAGTTTACCAACATTTGTTAATTGATGTACTTATTGCAGGTTTTGCTGGTGATGATCACGGTTACCTGAGAAATCCAATTTGGTGGGCAGGGATGATAACAAGTATGTTGAATATTGCACCCTCTAGTTTAGAAAAATTCTAGTGGTACTTTTTAACATTATCAAATATTTTGTTTATTTATCAGGCAGAAATTAATTGTCGTTTTTATTTATGTATCCAATGGTCTAGTGGTTTTTGGTGAATTATTAAATTTTGCTGCATACTCTTTTGCCCCAGCTATTCTTGTAACTCCCCTTGGGGCTTTAAGTGTCTTAATTGGGTAAGCAAAAATTTTTTCCGTAAAAATTTATATTAATAGATCAAGCGTTTAAAAAAAAATCACTAATCATATTGTTCTTTATCGGTTATTAGAGCCGTTCTGGCAGCTTTATTCCTCAAGGAAAGTCTCGGACAGCTGGGGACTGTGGGTTGTGGCTTGTGTCTAATCGGATCATTACTTATTGTATTGCATGCACCGGCAGATAAAGAAATCTTTACAGTCGATGAGATTCTAGCTTTTGCTCTTCAACCTGGTAGGTACGGTTTTTGCTATATCTAGGAGAAATCGAGTGAACATTAGTAACTAATTTTATTTTGAATGTTCACTTAGGATTTTTAATCTATTGTTTCTTGGTGGCGATCTATACTTTCATCGCTATATATAGAATTGTTCCGAAATATGGGAAGAAAAGTCCTTTGCCGTACCTGTCAATTTGTTCATTAGTTGGATCTATATCAGTAATGGCATGCAAAGGATTTGGTATAGCTCTAAAACTCTCCTTTGCGGGAAAAAACCAATTTACACATGCCTCCACATATGTGTTCATAATCATATCTACAGTCTGTATATTAATACAAATGAATTATTTCAACAAAGCTTTAGATCAATTTTCCACCAATATGTAAGTATAAGTTGGATCTGTTTTTTTTGTTTTCCGTCTGTTAACGAACCTCATACTCACTTTCTTTTTTAGAGTAAATCCTATCTACTACGTATTTTTTACATCTTCAACCATATTTTCATCTGTTCTCCTGTTCCAAGGGTTCAACACAACCCAAGTAGTAAATGT